TTAAGTGTGTTGCTTGTGTTTTAAGTGTGTTGCTTGTGTTTTAAGTGTGTCGCTTGTGTTTAGGCGTGTTGTTTGTGTTTTAAGTGTGTTGCTTGTGTTTAGGCGTGTTGTTTGTGTTTTAAGTGTGTTGCTTGTGTTTTAGGCGTGTTGCTTGTGTTTTAAGTCTGTAGCTTGTGTTTTAAGTGTGTTGCTTGTGTTTTAGGCGTGTTTCTTGTGTTTTAGGTGTGTTGCTTGTGTTTTAGGTGTGTTGCTTGTGTTTTAGGCGTGTTGCTTGTGTTTTGGGCGTGTTGCTTGTGTTTTAAGTGTGTTGCTTGTGTTTTAGGCGTGTTGCTTGTGGTTGACGTGTGTGGCAAATGTTCATGGTAGGTGGCATGTGTTTTAGGCAGGTAGTATCGGATTAAGGCGTGTAGCGTGTTTAAGGTGTGTAGTATGTACTTCACTGCGTATGAGCTTATGTTCAAGGAGTGTAGCATGTACTAGAGGTTTCAGCATGAGTTCAGATGTGCAGTGCGTGTTTAACACGTTGACTACGTATTGGTACATATGAGTACCACGAAATGTATTTCTCCAGGAGGTAGTGGTACATAATTCAGGTTGCCTAAAATCAGCCAAATCCGAGAATAAAAAAGGCCAAAAATGGCCGATAATTCATTGTATACTAGTTTATTTGTAGGTTCCGCTATAAAAATTCCATTTATTTTCTTTTAGCAGTATTTAAAATTTAATTAAGAAGACCCCTATCATAAATTTTAGCCGGCCAAAAAAAAAAAATGACCGTCTGGCAACCCTGCTTAAAAAAGTAAAAAAAATGAAATAATAGTACAAGTTGAAAAACAATCTTAGTTAAGGTGTGTAGCGCTTATAGAAGCATCTATACGATGTGTTTGATTGATTTTAATTTCAATGCATTTTTTGTTGTTAAAGTTTGTTATAAGGATATGATTGTGAATGGTTTAGAAGGGTGATAATCATACAAAGAAAATCGAACTTTGAATAAAAAATTTTCATTTTATAACTCCGTAGAGAAAGACGGAACGATGAACATGGCTTTTAATATATTTCACATTATTATATAATTCCCCCCTGAAAAATATATATCAGTTCTCTGTACTTATATCCCTCAGAAGGGGGATCTGATGACCCTCAGGTTATCTCCACAGGAGGCGGATTCACCGTTTCAATTCCGCCTCCAGAGTTCAGGGAATGCTTCGTGAACCTGAATGGTTGGAAGGGTGAACGCTGTGGGGCACTTCATGGTGTCTAGTCACTGAGTTTCTCATCAGGGTTTATTTGGATTTGAAAAATACCACTATTTGATGCATCAATATCGAATTTTTTCGGTACCTGTGACAGCGAAAATACTCTTAGGCTTTTTAGGTTCTTCTTCCTCGTTACCACGATTTTTATTCTTCGGTTCATATATACACAAGAAATACGTGCAAATATTTCAACTCGAAGCTTGGAACTCGCAATCTTAGTTTTGATTTACTGGCAAAAATCTGCCATGGCTTAAAGAGTGCGTTGAATCAATGAATTCATTTGTTATGATCTTGGGCCCTACTATGATAACTCGTTTAAACGCAGCGAGATAGGTACACGTTGCGACCTGAGTACACGTAGCGGCCTAAGTTCACGTAGCGGCCTAAGAACATGTAGCGGCCTCAGCACATGTAGCTTCCGATTTATCGTCTTTGTAAATAATGAAGAAAAAGCCATCATTGATTGGCTGACATAAATACAAACTCGCACCTACTCCTCATACTACTGATAGCTTCTAATGGTCGCACTCCATAACTTGTGAGACCGTGAGACTCGAAAACTCAGTTGCTGAAGTTTGTTAAGGAGAGAAAGCCTTCCTGTGGCTACTGCTTCACGCTTCACTTCAGCAGGCTTCACTCACTTCACTCCTCGCTGCTAGAAAGCGGGCAGCCATCAACCCTTGAACAACGTCAAGATTCTTTGAGTCTAATTCTTTTTAATTTACTTCATAAAAGAGTTTCCCTGCAGTGCAATATATTTACTGTGATAATTTCAAGCTAGACTGACTTATGAAACTGTTCCTTTTTTACTGGAAATGAAAAATTTATCAATAAAATTATGTGGCTGGTTTGTTGAAATCTCGTTATCATTTGGTTTCCGTTCTTTCCATTTACTTTTTTCCTGTATAATTATGCACAGCCTGAGATTTTTGTATTTATTTAGTCATAAATTTAATTTTCGGTTGCTTCTGTTCCGTATATCAAATTGTTAAATTAGAGAAAAAAACTTTCTATGGTTCCATTTTTCGATCATATTTGTTGTATGCTCGAATATAAGTAGAGATACTCACTGGCTTTTTCAAAGCCAGTGCTTTTCCCTTGGGTAAAATATGTATAAGAAATACATCCAGTCGAGCGTATATTGAAAGCTTTACCGTCCAGTTTAGCAGCAGTGTTCGCAATAATAACTCGACGTGGTAAGTTCTGGCTTGGCGACATGAAACATCTCGACACCGCGTGTCTCAAGCGATGTTTTAATATAAGTTCTGGCTTGGCGACATGAAACATCTCGACACCGCGTGTCTCAAGCGATGTTTTAATATAAGTTCTGGCTTGGCGACATGAAACATCTCGACACCGCGTGTCTCAAGCGAAATTTTATGCCTCAAGTGTGGATTTAACGCGCTGCCGCAATACCAATCTTGCATTATAGATATCTTCGCCAATTGTTATGCTTACGTTGCATTGTATGCGTTAGGCTCTGGCAAAAAATGCAATGCTGAACGTCTGGAACGTGAGCGTTATGCGCGCTCGTGCATGACGAGCAGCTTGCTCAACGAACGCAATATTGCGTATACGATCACGAATGCCTTCATAGATAGCGTTTCCTTTATAAATATTGAGATCAAATCCTTATTTGAACTGAGTTTTGCTAAGCATGTTATTCTGTTAGTTTTAACTCAGTTTGCATGTGTTTTTTTTTCTACTGTACCTGTTGATGAAATTATTACTCATACTTCTGTATAATCTAAAAATCTACTGCAATGTAAGTCAGAATTCTACGCAAAATCTTGTTTAATATTAATATAATTTACTGATGGATAAACTCCTATCATAATTGCACGAAAATTGAAAACAATTCACTTGAAATGAGAGCTCCCCACGCTGCCAATTCACTGATTTTTAATTCATTATAAATCATTGTTTTTTATTCACCAACAATTATTGATGAATTTCGAGCGGGTGAGCTAGCCCTTGGCCAGACGATCATTTTTCGACCTTCTGCACGCCATTCCCGGCGACACCTCAACCTTTTTTGCTATGACATTTAGTCCTTTTCCATGACCATAAATTCATACCCAACAAAAAGTGCTCGTATCTCTCAATCGATCTTTAAAAATTTATGGGTGATTGGACGTATCAAAAATGGCCTGCTGAACCTTGTGAATTCCCCTGGCCAATTCTTTTCATATGCCATTCGGGGCCATGTTTTTTGCGGACGATTATAACGCGTCGGCAGAATTCGGATGCCGGAACGTCTGCAGTTTCATTCATGAAGTTGCACGCTCACCTTCAACTTTCCAAACGACATTTATTCTCATGTAAAATTTTAAACTATTAGATTAATTCAACTCATGAAATTAACAAGTATTTTACAAATATTTTGTGCACGAAAAAAAAATCAATAGAATTTCAGTTGTTCAACATTTTGATTTTTCTACATCCTCTCGCGAAAACTACAATACTTAATTCGCACGTTTCATAGTTATGTTTGTAGAGATATTCAAACTAGTATAAATCATGCAATTAGCTATTTCAATCCCAAATGAATTTCTTAAATTGCAGAAAAATTAAGAAAGTTAAGCACATTAGCTTAAATTAAGTTAGGCCCATTCGCTTAAATTAAATTAGGCCCATTCGCTTAAATTAAATTAGACCCGTTCGCTCAAATTAAGTTAGGCCTGTTGGCCTAAATTAAATTAGGCCCATTTGCTGAAATTAAATTAGGTCCATTCTCTCAAATTGAATTAGGCCCATACTCTCAAATTAAATTAGGCCCATACCCTCAAATTAAATTAGGCCCATTCTCTCAAATTAATTAGGCCCATACTCTCAAATTAAATTAGGCCCATACTCTCAAATTAAATTAGGCCCATACTCTCAAATTAAATTAGGCCCATACTCTCAAATTAAATTAGGCCCATACTCTCAACTTAAATTAGGCCCATACTCTCAAATTAATTAGGCCCATTCTCTCAAATTAAATTAGCCCATTTGCAAATCATAAAATGATTCCTGGCCATCGTCTACTGTGAACGCTTCGACGAACAAGGAAGCCTAATGCGATCTTAATCTTATTATCGTAAATAATAAATCTGTCCGTCGATGAAAATTAAATTTCGATGGCTTAAATTTGATCATATATTTCGAAAAAGCGGCATTGTTCCCACATTACTTGAGGGTGGTTAAACACACCAACCATGCGATAAGGAAAAAAGTACTTGAAGCTAATGTCCAAAACTGGAATAATTCTAGTATTCTTCTTTTATATGTATTTTTTGGCATTGAGTTAGAGATGTTGACAACATTTGGTATAAAATTTAATATAACAATACTAAGCTCGTGTGAAAATTTTATTTCCTAAAAATTAATCAGAGAAAACACGAAATTCTGCGTTGAATTTTAATTTCATATTAATTTATGTCTAGAAAGGTTATACAAAGATGTCGCTTGCTTTTGATGAATTGATAATTGTTGCTGCAAAGAAATAAAGCGATGTTAAACGTACTCCATCTTAATAATATTTTATTTTATTTAAATGATATGTAACAAATTTTTCAGTGATTGTTAATTTGAACGAAGACACAATAGAATCTATTGAATTTGAATGAAAGAGTTTTTTACGTGGGCTAATTACCGATAAAAAAAGTCATCAAACAAATAATAATCACTTCATTTTTTCTTTTTCGTTTCAGATCTTCTTTTGGAGATGGCACTCACATCCATCGAGTTTCTCAAGCGCGGGCAGCTTTAAATTCCAGTGAAAGCTATAATTGATCAAGCATTTAAATTTTAAAAATATCCAGTTTTGAAAATTTTATGTTTCCCCTACACAAACTCATTTGATATGGAATGAGATTTTGAAAAGAAGCAGTTTGCATTGACTACGAAGTATTGCATATATTAAACCTAAACCTATTGGTAACTTTCAAAGCTAATGTAATACATTTAATCATAAATAATTTAATAATAATAGCAATAACTAATATGTCTCTAATTACATAATAAGGAAGCAATGCGGCTCGATTCAATAGATTGCGGAGTCTAAAGTGCACAGAAAAATGAGTGAGAAAATTAAAATATTTATAAGTTTCAACAAATTTTAAACTTTTTCTAAATGTCCGATAAAATAACGTTTAGAAAGAAAAACACCAGAATTTTTTTCGTGCAAAATTTTTTGTCACATCAATAGTGCGCGAAAAAAACTTCCTTTAATAACCGAAACACTGAAAAGAAACAGTCTTATTTCGTCTCATTAAACTGTGTGACAAAATCACTTTTGAAATCCAAAATACTGAAAATAAATTCGACATTAAACTGTGTGACAAAATCACTTTTGCAATCCAAAATACAGAAAATAAATTCAAACAGTTCTGTTGTTCCCATTGAAGTTTGCGACAGAAATACGTCCAATAAACGAAACCCTGGACACAAACTCACCTACTTCAGCATGACCGCGTCGTTCGTGTGCGAGACAACCTACCGCGGGTGGCGGGCGGTGGAAGGCTGCCAGTCTGCCGCTGGCATATCAAGACTCGTCGACGCCGTCATCTTCGGAGACAAAACTGACAGTTGCACTGACCCAAAGGTGGGTTAGATTGGCTGCGACATTAATTAATGATTTATTTCTTATTGCAGTCCCAGAATTCGTTCAAGTCTAACAAGGTTAATTAATGAATTATTCCTTATTGCAGTTCCAGACATCGTTCAAGTCTAACTAGGAGGTTTATGTATACGGCTATCACGTAATTTAAGGCCGTTATGAATTAAAGTCTATTTTATTTCTTAAGACTTTTTAGGGACTTTTATTAATTTAATTGTCAATCTTAAGCTGATTCTTCTGAAAAAGAAACAAGGAATAACTTTTATTACATTTTATTTTATATATATATAACATTGAAAATGAAGCCAGAGCCTCTTTTTCCTATAGCAAATATAGGCAAAATTCATCTTTTGCATAATTTGTGGGAGACTGCAACGGTTCCTCGAGAGGCTCTACCCACCGACTCCCCATATACACCAAATATTCATCCATTTTCGTTTCCACTGCCACTACTCGTATATCTATAATTATCCTCACTAATCGCAAACTAAGTTTTAATTTTGTTCGCCATGCTGAACTGGGGCCATACTCTCTAAACTCACTTAAGTGCACGCAGCGACCTTACTAAAAAGGACGGCCTAAGTACAAGTAGCATCCTAAGTACATGTAGCGACAGATTTCTCGTCGAAATTGGTGAATTTGGTATAAAAGGCCGTAAGTTATAGGCTGCCTGACGGAGTTACCAGTTGATGACTATATTTATTAGCACGGCCTCTGCTTACGAAAAATTCTATATTATCCCTCATTTAATTATTGATATTTTTTCGTATCACAGCTACCGTTTGAGTCGAGCCGTGTGCAGCTGCAGTTGACTGAGCAGCAGCTCCGACTTGTGCCGCTCAAGAAGGACGAAGGTTTTGAGTCGGACTCTGACGGCTCGTCGGGCAGCCTCTGTGATGAGCAGTGCTCTCAGAGCTCTCAGAGCTCTCAGTGCTCTCAGAGCTCTCAAGTCCAGGTCAGAGAAGAGCATCGAACTCTCAAATATCTAAATGTTGCCCACCACCCTCAACTACACTGTAAATTGAATGTTGTTAGGTTACACATTTTTCTTGAATATGACACAAGTATTTAGAAAAAAAACTATCGAGTTAACATCGGTATCTCGACTTTTCAAATTAATTTAATACTATACGAAGAGTGAAATTATATGGACTACATTTCTGGTAAGCAAAATTTAAAAGTTATAGATCAAGCAATCATCATATGTTCTAATCACGCTAGTTATAACATTCAATATTCATAACACGCAGGTAATTCGTGATCACGTGCTACGTCTGGACAAACTGCTTCGTCAGGAAGGATCGTCCCCGAGCCACAAAGACAAAATAACTCGCATTAATCACGTTAATCACAACATTAACTGCACCAGCAACATAAACAATCAGAACAACGTCATGAGTGACGTATCAGGGAGCGGTAACATCAGCGCTGACACTGTGAGCGTCAGCAGCAGCGATGACGTTAACGTCGCTAAGAAAGAAGACGCTGCGTCTTCCAGCAGCGGAGCTGAGAGCGAGGACGACATTCCCGCTAAAATTACAAACACAAGTCCAACTGCACGTGAGAAAGATACCATTTTTTGTTGCTTGCAATCATTATTATATTTATAATTAAATAACATATAATGAAAAGGCTAAAAAAACTGACAATTTTGCTAGACTCAAATTTTAAATGTTATAATTCCTTTACTTACATTATATTTCCATTTTCATCTGCTTCTGGCCAGAAGTTTACTCGCGAAAATCCCACATAAAAAGTGGATGACAGATGATCGTCAACACCAAGATTTTGCAGTGTTAGAGCATTTCAAAGATAAAAAAAGAAGGCTGCCAGTCTGCCGCTGGCATATCAAGACTCGTCGACGCCGTCATCTTCGGAGACAAAACTGACAGTTGCACTGACCCAAAGGTGGGTTAGATTGGCTGCGACATTAATTAATGATTTATTTCTTATTGCAGTCCCAGAATTCGTTCAAGTCTAACAAGGTTAATTAATGAATTATTCCTTATTGCAGTTCCAGACATCGTTCAAGTCTAACTAGGAGGTTTATGTATACGGCTATCACGTAATTTAAGGCCGTTATGAATTAAAGTCTATTTTATTTCTTAAGACTTTTTAGGGACTTTTATTAATTTAATTGTCAATCTTAAGCTGATTCTTCTGAAAAAGAAACAAGGAATAACTTTTATTACATTTTATTTTATATATATATAACATTGAAAATGAAGCCAGAGCCTCTTTTTCCTATAGCAAATATAGGCAAAATTCATCTTTTGCATAATTTGTGGGAGACTGCAACGGTTCCTCGAGAGGCTCTACCCACCGACTCCCCATATACACCAAATATTCATCCATTTTCGTTTCCACTGCCACTACTCGTATATCTATAATTATCCTCACTAATCGCAAACTAAGTTTTAATTTTGTTCGCCATGCTGAACTGGGGCCATACTCTCTAAACTCACTTAAGTGCACGCAGCGACCTTACTAAAAAGGACGGCCTAAGTACAAGTAGCATCCTAAGTACATGTAGCGACAGATTTCTCGTCGAAATTGGTGAATTTGGTATAAAAGGCCGTAAGTTATAGGCTGCCTGACGGAGTTACCAGTTGATGACTATATTTATTAGCACGGCCTCTGCTTACGAAAAATTCTATATTATCCCTCATTTAATTATTGATATTTTTTCGTATCACAGCTACCGTTTGAGTCGAGCCGTGTGCAGCTGCAGTTGACTGAGCAGCAGCTCCGACTTGTGCCGCTCAAGAAGGACGAAGGTTTTGAGTCGGACTCTGACGGCTCGTCGGGCAGCCTCTGTGATGAGCAGTGCTCTCAGAGCTCTCAGAGCTCTCAGTGCTCTCAGAGCTCTCAAGTCCAGGTCAGAGAAGAGCATCGAACTCTCAAATATCTAAATGTTGCCCACCACCCTCAACTACACTGTAAATTGAATGTTGTTAGGTTACACATTTTTCTTGAATATGACACAAGTATTTAGAAAAAAAACTATCGAGTTAACATCGGTATCTCGACTTTTCAAATTAATTTAATACTATACGAAGAGTGAAATTATATGGACTACATTTCTGGTAAGCAAAATTTAAAAGTTATAGATCAAGCAATCATCATATGTTCTAATCACGCTAGTTATAACATTCAATATTCATAACACGCAGGTAATTCGTGATCACGTGCTACGTCTGGACAAACTGCTTCGTCAGGAAGGATCGTCCCCGAGCCACAAAGACAAAATAACTCGCATTAATCACGTTAATCACAACATTAACTGCACCAGCAACATAAACAATCAGAACAACGTCATGAGTGACGTATCAGGGAGCGGTAACATCAGCGCTGACACTGTGAGCGTCAGCAGCAGCGATGACGGTAACGTCGCTAAGAAAGAAGACGCTGCGTCTTCCAGCAGCGGAGCTGAGAGCGAGGACGACATTCCCGCTAAAATTACAAACACAAGTCCAACTGCACGTGAGAAAGATACCATTTTTTGTTGCTTGCAATCATTATTATATTTATAATTAAATAACATATAATGAAAAGGCTAAAAAAACTGAAAAAATTGCTAGACTCAAATTTTAAATGTTATAATTCCTTTACTTACATTATATTTCCATTTTCATCTGCTTCTGGCCAGAAGTTTACTCGCGAAAATCCCACATAAAAAGTGGATGACAGATGATCGTCAACACCAAGATTTTGCAGTGTTAGAGCATTTCAAAGATAAAAAAATACACGATATCGTATAGTAGTTATTATATATTAATATTATATTCCTAAATTTAATTGGATCTTTGTTCTACCTTGTTTTATACAGATAACACTAGCAAAACTTCAGCCTGTACGCACCTGCCAGCGCTCCGACAGACAAGCCAGGTGAGGCGAGGGCTCTCTCTAGGGATTAGGGGGCATGTGTTCAAAATAATTATTCTAATGAAGATTAATTTGTGTCATCTTTAGAGTAGGTTGAGCTTATGCAAACAATGACGTGAGTTTGGGTACTTATATAATCTTTTAAGACATGAATGCATTGTTCCAAGTTTTGTTAGACTGCGACGTTTCTTTTGCATTTAATGTTTTAATTCATTACCTTCAGTTCTTCATTAAACATTCGCAGTCAGTATATGTTAAAGAAGATGCCTTTAATCTGCCAATGTCATTAATTACTAAGAGTGGAATATTCACAGATTTTTCTCGCTTGTTTCTGACGAAGTTTCAAGAATATCGCGATTGGGATCGAGTAAATGTTTCAAAGGAATGTATTTTTGTTAAATACACTTATTCACCTTGCTGATTTTGCTGACGTACATTTGATTAATTTTAGCTCAGTTTATTTTGTTGTTTATATCATTCACCTCAAACTTTTCAAAACACATAAAAGCAGCGGTAATATTAGCTCCCTGAAGTATATAATAGTCAAAATAATCAGTGTCGCCAACAGCACCTTATACTGACAACCGAGGCTGAATCATGGCAATCAAAGCCTTAATCGCTCTATTTAAACACTTCAAAATGAAATATTTCAAGTTCGTTATCACTTCCATCCCTTGTATAGCCTGCACTACACTATTTCAGCTGCGATATAACTGGATGTGTTTTCGTGTAGTGCCTGCATTTGGATTGAAGAGTGGCAGAGATTTTATTATAGCTAGGATATGATTGGAGGTCACACAGTTAGCTAACACTTCCTTTCTTGTGTCGCTCGCCAGTCACCAGATGGAGACACCAGAGCATCGGGGGCAACCGCAGCAACGACGTTCATGATGAGCGACATCCTCTTCTGTCACATCAGTAGCAGTCATCCTAAAGTCGTCGTACTCGTCGCCAAAGCTTCTTTTTCTAGCCCCCTAATGCGAGCTCATGTTCTTGAATGTCTCTCCCAACACGCAGCCAAGACTTTTTATTTACACTACTACAAGGCAAAAAACAAACACAATCTCGAGAGATACCGAAATACTAAAAGAAAGACTGACGTAGATCAGTTCATGTTAGGCGATGATAAAGAAAACGTTTTGTCAAATTTCAAAACCAATCTTGACGTCTTTGACTCGCTACGGAGCTGCGCTGTAAGGAAAGACAGTGGAACGAGCAGCACAGACGAGGCAAGCAGTCCCAGGGGGTCTGTGAGGTCATACAAAAATGAAAACTCAGCATCTGATAATGTTAATATAATTGAAGTTAAATCCAATGATAGCTCTTCTTCGGAAGGCACTCAGCCATTTAGCCTTCTTCAACGCACTGATAATGAGGGGATAACACACATCGAGATCGAAAGCGGGCCCGCGAGTCTTTTGAACGGAAGCTCACTGCCTCCAGATTTTAGCAGTATCATTAGTTTAAGTACTCCAGAAACCAATGGAATCGTTGCTGGATTTGGGGGAGTAAGGAACTATAGAAATATGCTAAGAACTAATAACAATAGCTGCCCAAGTAGCTTACTTATTCTTGAGCGTGAGACCATTTCTTCGGGAACCGAACACGATCGTAAATTCAGGCAGCGGCAGCCAGCGCTTCTATTACGAGCTGAAGAAGATGAGTCTGCACAGAGAATGATGAGAAAAGTCGATGACGATTCCAGAAGCAGGAGAGACCGTCACTTCTTGGAAGTAACCAAACATCGTGATATCGGTAGACCTCCTTTACCACCCCCCTCGTCATGGGCTTTACCAGACAGACCAATACGACATAAAACTGTCACACGAGTGATAGAGTACCGAGACCCAGTTCCTACAAAGAATAAGTCAAACATGTCTCCAGCTCCAACACCACCTCCGCGTCGACATCCACATGACTCTTCTTTGCTGTTGGTACCAACGAAAAGTGGTCAGGAGTCCAAGAGGTCGTACTACCCCAAAGAATCTCACATCGTTCGTGGCAACAAAGTGGTTCGCGTTGACTTCCCTACTGTTCCAGTATGGAACCATAGACCGGATCCAAACAACAACGCCCGTCAGTATCTGCACTACACCGGAGGCTGGGCACATGAATATCATTCTCCTAGAATGCGGGAAGCCGTTCTCACCTCGGAGCTCAGGAGACGGTCTAGGTCGAAAAGCCCGGCCAGGAAGCCTGTCACCAATCGCTATCTTGACGTTGTCTCAACTTTCAATATCTCGCAAAAATTACGCGAAATTTCTGAGGCTGTTTTTTCTAACAAGAGAAGTCAGGGAAATAGTATCGTCGATTCCTTACCACCTGTAAGGGGGAATAGGACGGGTGTAAAAAGCTCCACAACCACTGGAGAAAAGGAATCCCTCCGACCAGTCATTAAAAAAGGAAACCAAAAACAAACCGAAGGCGATAACAGGAGAGTAACTTTTAGCGCCTATGCTACAGTTCAACTTATGAACTCATGATGAAATATGGCTGCAGGAACGCGTTTTCAGTTTAAAGAGTAAATCAGTTGTTTAATTACGGGTGATGAATAACAATGAATATCTTAAGTGAGTTCAGAGTTACTTATTTTTATCTTCCGCTGATGTAAAAAAAAAACCCTGCTGTGTTCTATGTTTCCAATAAATGCGTTTTGCTCGTAGTTCACATTTGAGATAACGTTCAAAATACCATGCTTTTTTAGCTCTTAGTCAATAACTGATAATAAGGAAGTTCTACTAAATTTATTTTTCTTCGTAATTTTGTTCACTGCTAAAAATATACTATATGTTTCATTGTTATTTACCTTTTCAAGACATTATTCGTCTGGAAAATGACACACAATTATGAGTAACTGTGAACCACAATCACATATCATTTCTCAATTCCTGATGATGAGTCCATACCACATTATAACATTCTAACGTTTGATTAATCATTTTAACATAGGTTCGAATTTGTTCTTTATGAATATATCAACTCAATGAGTTCTGCATTCGTGGCCTAATTAATTATTTTAATAAATTATAACTACAAACTGTTCGTAAAGTTTTCTGGGTTATTTCCAGCCGCACTTCTTATTTAAGTAAGTCCACTCACTGACACCCGCTGTTACCATCAAGTTGATGTAAGTCGATTCGAAATATTATGAGCGGTGTTCAATTGGAAAATGCTCGCACCCAGAAACGAACTGTACCATTGACATATTTTCAGAATTGCGTAATTTATTTTAAGAAATATTTTACCCATTCTTGGCTTGCACGGTGCACACACCGAAGGATCATCAGACAGACACCGGGCGCAACGAACTCGAGTGGACAACACAATTTTTGTAAAATTTCTGGCGATGTGTGGTTTCGCCAAAATTATTTTATTATTTTATTAAACTTGGTGCAAAAATTATGTGGCAAAGTACATGCCGAATCCCAACAGGCAACTGACATTGAAATTATTTTTATATAAAAATGTGTTACAAAGAAATTAACTCATAATCAACGGTGTTACAACATCATTTGTGTTGAAGGATATGACTGACGTAATTACGATTAATCAAGTGATAATTAAGGAGGTAACTCCATTATATACTGTTCCCAATTGAGTATTAGGTACGCATTTACTGGAGTACCTATATGCTATGTTTTCATCTAGTCTACATTAAGTATATAACCTGTTGTTTGCTTGTAAATACTCTTGCTTGCTACTTATAATATGTTTCTGTAAATCAATTGTTTTCTTCAAGAAATATATCCTAGTAAATGAATTAGTCCCAGACTAGCTGAATATTTTTGTCGTAATTCAAACTCTTATAAATGTTTCTTGTTTTTTTAAGAATAGAAATTTGTTTGTTTTAACTTGAATGGAATGCATGAAGCTTTTTATTTCAGTTAAATTTTTCGAAATTCATGAATATTTTATTTCAGCGCTATCTTATGTTCTAATCAATCGCAAAACAATAAAAACGTAAACTTTGTCTTCTCCTTTACGACAGACAACATCGTATTACAAAGCCTTCGAACCGCTAAAATATATTCTTCAGATATAAGTACTATTTTCATTATCCTATCATATGTCAGTTTGAACACAGTCATTATTTCATTAACAATTCCAAATAACCCTTCCTCAAAGTCCACCCTCTGATCCAGCTCACTTGAGATATAATATAGACGAATTTATTAGTACCCCATCAATTGCTGCAAGAATAAAATGGAAGAAAATAACAATGAATTTGTGACAATGAGCCTCACAGTTTATCATTTGCAGAACTCGAGTTTAATTGAGCTCGAACTCTGCACGCTACGCAACCCCTTCGAGCATTTTCCTTTTTTCCTTAATTGCCGTTTATATTTATTTATAAAAACGATTAACAAAATAATTTCCAATACTTATATTTTATAAATAAGCAAAACTTCATTGCGTTTTGTCCTTATAAATTGCATTAAAACTGAGGTCAACCTCGAGAAGCAAATGATGCCCCGCGCACACCTGCTCTGATGGGGCATTTGATGTAAGAATTATTAGCATCCGGCCAGGTCCCGTTGGGTTGTTTTAGGTTATATTATTACTGGGGAATACAAATGACAACTTGATTGTGCTATAGTTACGGGATGTGTGCTGACAGACGCTGACTTACAGCATCCGACAAAGACACGCTTTGATGTTTAATCTCGGAATTTCCTTTAGAAAACAAAGACACACTTTAATATTTAGTTATACGTACGATTTTCATTCAAAAACAATGGCATGTTATGATATTTAATTTTTACTTTCCATTTAAAAAATCAATATTAATAAACATTTAAAATTGCGCTTTATGAGCATTCGTGACAAATAAGGAGCTATTTTAGAATAAACTTACCAACAAATAAATTATGCAATTGAGAAGGTAAAAATTTTTCGTTAATTTTAGAAGTACGCGAGCAAGTGATATAAATACTTGAGTACTTGTATATATAGTGAATGTAAATTACAATGTTAATTTCATCTGTTTTTTAACTGTTTGATTGCAGGAAATTATCTTCAGGTTTCTCTCCGCTGAGCAGTACACATTAATAATTAAACGCTCAGCTGAGCAGTACACATTAATAATTAAACGCTCAGCTGAGCAGTACACTTTAATAATTAAACGCTCAGCTGAGCAGTACACATTAATAATTAAATGCTCAGCTGAGCAGTACACATTAATAATTAAATGCTCAGCTGAGCAGTACACATTAATAATTAAATGCTCAGCTGAGCAGTACACATTAATAATTAAACGCTCAGCTGAGCAGTACACTTTAATAATTAAACGCTCAGCTGAGCAGTACACTTTAATAATTAAACGCTCAGCTGAGCAGTACGTACACTTTAATAATTAAACGCTCAGCTGAGCAGTACACATTAATTAACTAAATTATGAAGGAGCTCTCTATATTCCTACGTTCGGGAAAATGTTAGTTTCTAATTTTTAGTCCTTTCAGCTATCGCATCAGTAGAAAACTGATTGAATTTTCATACAATTTTTAAGACGTAGTCATTAATTTTGAAGACTTGTCTAAAAATAAACCAATATTTATTTCCGCATAGACAACAACAATATCTACATTATAAATATATGAACATGGTCGCTAACGTGCTTACAAGTGTAAGCATATATTAAAAGCTAATACGCGTATATATAAGTACATACAAGATTCCAAGCTATACTGCCAGCAAGACGAAGAATTAGAGGCTCGTCTTCATACTTATTATCAGTCATGAACAGCTGTACCAAGGCTACCAGCACTCCTTGGTCTCATTGAACGGTCTGCACACATCTTGATTATTTTGCCTGCTTTATTGCTTCAGACATTCGCTGACATTGATTAGTGGATTTTTGTGTCAGAAAAAAATCAGATATCTTAGGATATATGACTTGCTTCCTAAAAATAGATTTTACTATATAATTTTTACATGTAAATTAAAGTGGCATCATCTAATAAGTATATCAACGTGGTGTTTCATCATCAAGGCATCAGTTATGTGTCAAACAAATTACTTGCATTGCTACAAAGGAGCGTTTGATTCGCTAGCACCTAGAGTTCAAAGAATGTTTTTTTAAACTGTGTGTCCACAAAAATTGCTCAAATCACGAATCCTCAATTTGTTAAAAAGCATTTAGTATTGATTTTTCATGAACCCAGCAAAACATCCGGGACGATTTTATATTAGCAGCCTATTTCAAGAAGACATGCAGTGTCTATCGGGACAGTTTTACTGCCAACTGCCAAGACCGTCTGCAACTACAGTTTTACTGCCAAGACCGTCTGCCAGTACAGTTTTACTGCCAACTGCCAAGACCGTCTGCCAGTACAGTTTTACTGCTAACTGCCAAGACCGTCTGCCAGTACAGATTTACTGCCAACTGCCAAGACCGTCTGCCAGTACAGTTTTACTGCCAACTGCCAAGANCCACGTTATCGCATAGCATAGAAATCAATATAACTATGTGAGCTATGTCCCAAGTAGTTTGACTATACTAGAAAATGTCTAGTATTATTCGAATATTGAAGCATACACATATAATATTGTGGTACATCAATGTGAGATAATTGATGTTACTTGAACTTAGACATCAATCAGCGATGTATCGGTAAACAAGCATGTCGTCCAACATGTCCGACCGTCCCACCATATCACACAATTAACATATCTAACCATACCACCCAACATGCTGTCTCTTATACACATCTAGATGTGTATAAGAGACAGTACTAGGGTTAATAGAGAAGAAGATAATTATTCTTACCCTTGCCCTAATGCAAGGACTAATCTTTAGCAAAACCCATGATATTTTTTATTTATATTAAATTATATAAATAATGTGTATCACCGATTATAGTTTCGTACTCTTTGCTCAGTTTGGTAAATAATACATTTGAAAAACAGCGTGAACACTGGAAAAAAGTTCATGCTTCGCTAGTCTTGGTCCACGACGATAAAAGAATAAAACCGTGAGAAGAGGAATTATTGCAGTGTCATTGTTTAGCATGTCACGGTACATTATGGTACGGCATGCCATGGTACAGCATCTCATGGTACGTCATGGTACGGCATCTCATGGTACGGCATCTCATATCTCATGGTACGGCATGTCATGGTAAAGGTTCAGGGTTCAAGAAGCCCCTATAAGCGAGGCAGGTCCAGGGTTCGGTTCAGGGCTCATCTGAAGGCCGGAGTTGCGGGAGCTCGCCCCCGGTCCGCCCTTTGCTCGCTGCTCGGTGATATTCCTCGCAGAGGTGTATGGTATTCCCCGCGAGGAATCCATTATTGGAATATTCCTCAGCTTCAATAAATGTTACCTTTTCGCTAGGAATTCTATTTCGGGATACCAGGAAGCTAAAATCTCGGCTTTGCGTTACGACGGACTTTTCTTCGTCAAGATTCATGCAAATTTGAAAATAAAGCGAGGCAGACATGCACGTAGAAAATATAAATCCAAAATTAGATAAGTTATGGCATAAAATGGTCCATATACTCTTATTAGTGCGTCGCTGAAAATATTTATTATACACAACTGTTATGGCGCTGCGTGCTCCATGTGACGACCTTGAGCGCTACGTACTCCATGGAGGGCTATGCGTGCTCCATGGAGATGACCTTATAACGCTGTGTGCTCCGTGGAGACAACCTTATAGCGCTACTTGTTCCATGGAACCAACCTTATAGCGCTGCGTGCTCCATGGAGACAATCTTATAACGCTACGTGCTCCATGGAGACAACCTTATAGCGCTTCGTGCTCCATGGAGACAACCTTATAGTGCTGCGTGCTCCATGGAGCCGGCCTTGATAGCTTAAGACACATCCGCCTTAGGGGCGCTTCTGCCTGCAGTCCAGACGACGTCGCGTTAAATGCTCGGGCAGAAGACGCGCGCAAAGCGCAACGGGATCCCTCGCTTTATTATCATTTCCTGCTTCGAATTAAAGCATAAAGGCAACATAATTTCTTTGGTGATCATTTATCATCATTCATTTAAAAAATAAAAAATGATATATTCAAAAATGCATTAAAATAGAAGCCTACCATGAAAATATTTTCGCTTGATATTAATTATTATTACAACACTTCTCTTTAACTTCACTTCTTGCCTGTCTGTCTGCTACAAATCTTACAATCTAAATTTAACACACTTATACTTATCCTATCGATCTGAAATTTTGCACACTTGCGTAAAGTTGGGAACAATTCAAGAATCAAATGACAAAATAAATGATTTTAAAAATCAATTTTTTTTAATATTAGAAAAATCGAAAAAATAATATTGTCAGCTACAAATCTTATAACTTATATTTGACACACTTTTACCTGTCCAATTGATATGAAATTTTGCACACTTGTGTGAAGTCGGAGGCAATGCATGAATCGATTGACAGAACAAATAATTTTGGAAAAAAATTTTATATATTAAAAAAATGAAAAATTAATTTTTTTAATATTCGAAAATAAAATGAGAAATTCATTGTACATCTCTAACATTTGAGACACTGGATTCTTTAGAAGTGTTGTTTATAAAAAGTTTTTTAAACGTATATTATTTTACTAGCAATATGCCTTTTTTGGATTCCTTGTATTCACTTGTAAAAAAGGCATAAATTTTGTTTCGAACGCTATTTAACATTCAAAAATACATCGCAACGCCTAACATCAAATAATAATAATAGCGGTTTCAGCGTTTATTAGGCCGTAGGCCTGTCGCCGATTCTTAACATCGCAGAAAATTCACAGCATTTTGCGGTCTCGAACTACCAACTCACTGCTACAGTTCTGATGTGCTTAACCGCCCGGCCTCCGTGCCGATTCTTACCAGAGACTGGCGCACAGAGCTGGGTTCGAACCCGCGCCTCTCTGCTCCAATCTTGGTACTCTGAACTGTAACCACTGGGCCACCCTGCCCAGATACATATATAAATAAACAGCATGATAATTGCATGGAATTCAATTCAGAACAGGCGACTAAATCAATTAACCATGATTTTGATACAAAATTAGCGAATGTATGCAATAAATTTCTTATATTCCGTGA